TCTCGAGAAGCTACAATTTCGTAGCCATTAGAAATGGCTACTTGTCGCACCAATTCCAGGCGTTTTCCCTTCTGCTCTCCTCTTTTGCTCACTATAGTGGCTGTTCGGAATATAGTTCTTGCAAGCGCTCTTTTTGTGCGTGAGTGGTGAGAGGAAAAGTAAAGAACCAGGATACTTTTTTGATATTTGAATTTTGGTACTACTTAGTGGTGCAGCCGACTTGCATGGGTTAATTTGAGCGTTCAGAGATAATGTCCAAAAAAAACGAAATAAAAAAGGAGTAGAATAACAGCTTTAACTTATTATTTACTGCCTACTCTTTTTAACACCAGGGTATATACTGCGAAATATAACTTTAATGAAGCTGAGATATTTGCAAAACTCCGGACCGCAGGTGTCTGCGGTGGAGAACGAACGCACTATTGTCCTTTCCGAGGAGTTACGCGTTCACCACCACACCATGCGGGTCCTTCGTTTCACCTGTCTCTCAGCTAGTTTTATTGATGTTTTGCCACCAGCAATAAGTTAAGTTAAGCTGATATCTCAGCACCATTAAAGTTATATTTCACAATATATACCTTGGCGTTAAAAAGAGTAGGCAGTAAATAATAAGTCAAAATTGTGATTATAACTGCAGCCTCAGCTTAACTGGGTTCGTTGCCGATTTAGGTTTCCAGATCACTACTGCTGACAGTTGATTGCTGATGGCAAAAGATCAATAGAACTAGCTGAGAGACAGGCGAAACGAAGAACCCGAATGGTGTGGTGGTGAACGCGTTACTCATCGGAAAGGACAATAACGCGTTTGTTCCTCACCGCAGACAGCTGCGGTCCGCAGTTTTGCAAATATCTCAGCATGATTAAAGTTTAAAAAAACAGCATCATGTTTGCTCATCAAGAGAGTACGGAAAGAATCAGAATATTTGATCAATGCCGAGGTTAATAGAAAGTGCCACTTGGGAATTTCTAACAAATTGTCGCATGAAAATCAGTAGGATAAGGAATATGGTTAAGTTTTTTTTTTCTTGAAAGCGAAAGGTTGAGAGAATGATAGGAGGAGCAAGTAAGAGATAGAAGTGAGAAGAAAAATTTTTCGCATTTTTCTCAGATATCTCCTTTGATCAGTAAACGATGTGCGATCAAACAGCAAAACAAAAATACGTCTGGTGTAAATCCAGTGAAAGATGGGAAAGAAGAAAAAAATTTAGGGAAGATTGCCAACTAACTTGCATTAGTAAAAAATGACCAAAAAACGGAGAAGAAAATCAAAACTGCTCATTGGAACTGTAGTGATATGAAGGCATAGTTTTATTTATTTGCCTAGGTCTAAGCTTACATGTCATTTGTCAAACAATAAGGCGTTAACGATTCATTGTGGCTCCGATAACATTTACCTAATCGACGTAACCACAAACTAAATAATAATTACTACGACTTCATTTCGTCTTTGTTCTGTCTTCTCTCAACGTTTACGCGAACCGACTTGATTGTTTGTTTTTAAAACGTTTCTACGACCAAAAAAAGGCGGCGCTAACATGAAAACGCTCTAGGAGAACCATACGACGACTCCAGAGAGAATCAACTAGGCCAGCACTCAACAATATCCATAAAGAAAATTGTCCTCCAATGGTAGCAACCGAATCCACACTGTATTCCAAAGATCACCATGAATGACGGATGCTGGACAACGGACCAACGGAAAGAGATGGTAGAGTTCGCTCAATATGCGAAGTCATGCCATGTAAATATGATAATATTATTATTAAAGTAGGTAACAAAAAACATAGCTAAAGTGGTAGTGACATGCCTTTAATGTTTTCCAATTCCTTGCTTAGTTAACACTATCTAGAACAAGTAATCCGCGAAATCCTGACCCTCTGTTCGATGGTTTGTGCGCTAAACGAAATTCTGATGAGTGAACCAGAAATACGAAGTAAGCCGATCTCTGCCAAAAATCTCAAGCCGTTCTCTATTTTGTGCGTATCCAATATCATATTTTTAGTGATCGCTTATCAACTGCTGCGAAATATATCAGAAATATTATAAGTTATCATGGCTGATGTCAGGAGATAAACATCTGTGGTAGGGAACGAAAAGGGGTTCAATGCCGATGTGGGCTCTTCAGATCAGTCTCGCTGACGGGTGATTGCTGATGATACTGGTCTATAGAACTAGCTCAGAGGCAGGCCAAACGAAGGACCCGCATGGTGTAGTGGTGAATTAGCCCCGCAAAGGGTAATAGCGCATTCGTTCCCCACCGCAGACACCTGCGGTCCAGGGTTTTGCAAATATCTCAGCATCGTTGTGGTTGTATTTCGCATAGTACCCTACCGTGAAAATCGTAGTACCGTAAGGCAAATCGTAAAGGCAGAAAATAAAAAGTAAACACAAACATCTGTGTTTAAAGGTTAGGAATCGAGTGATAGGGTACTCCAACTTTTCCAGTGAATAAAATAGGTGTGCAGGTACAGCTATAGTACTGATTCAAAAGTCGTTCGAAGCAAACGATTAAGATGTGATTTAGTGCCTTTCAGAATAGTCTGGCGAGGGCTATATTTTAAACGGTTGAATGTGTTCAGTTGACTTCAACGAGCTGTCCACGATCATGTACACCCGGTGTGCACCTAAGTGGCATATTAGTGTTACAGAGTTCAGCAAAAGAATGGGACGAGAAGCAGAAACTTCGAAACTCATCACATGGCAGAGGAATATGATGCATTTCACCCTCACTGTGTAACATATGAGATGCATTTCGATAGCCGACAACATGGATGGAATCATATCTTACGCAGGCCCAAACGACATTACACTAATCACGTCTGACACCTGCGATAGCTCCTACTGAACAATGAGCTCGTCATCCGTTGTTTGAGCATTACGTCAAGCTGCTGACCCACCAATCGCCAACACAGTTTCCGCCATCATTCCAGACCTCGGGTCTAAGCCTCAACAAAAGCAGTCAAATAACTTTCACGTTGATGCAATAGGTCATTAATTCTTTTTAGGCATCTAATTTGTTCTAAAAGATAAAAACCTTCCAACGTTGGACTCCTGAGGGATGTGCAAAGCATTAGATTTCATCAGGCAGAGGTGATTATACATTGGCTTACGGTAGCCTACCGATGTATCAACCCAGTGTTGCTCCTCTTCCAGACACTACTGGCACCAATATGGAGACCCCGGATGACAGAATACTTGATGTGCTTGGCAACCAATCCATTCTGTATTGTAGGGCACATCTAACTACGGCATCACTTGCTCCCAAAGTTATACAATACAATCCACTTAGTGAATAGCGTAAAATCCACATAACAAGACTACATTAGAAGACAGAGCCAAATGTGTACCCACTATTTCGCCAATCGTTTCAACTTGAACGTATAATGCATACATTCTTCTCCATCATTTACCAGCTTGCTAAATAGAGTCATCTTGGTCGAGCAGCATGAAGTGCATTGTGCTCCTAGCATAGCATTCTTTATACTGCTTTTATCAAGAATATAAGCACAGATAGTTCTTTGATTTCTGCTAAGAAGGATTGTCGTTAGCTAGGCTCCAAAATGAAATATGTCACGGATTGAAAGCCTCAATGCGGAAGCATTAAGAGGAAGCTGATAATAACTGGGCACCATGACCCTCTATCAGTTACTTTTCAGCCATTGCATTGCTGGCAAGCTTAACACCAGCCAGTGGGAATTGCAAGTCTTATCTGATATAACGAAGTGCCCTCAACATTCTGCATTGCAAATAAACAGCTGAACCTGGTACGGCTTGGTTTACCCAAAATTTAATTGAAGTCTACAGAGCAGAGAACAGGAGCTCAAAGAACATCACTTCAGTACAACTACATCACGTTATTCCTAAGTTTTAACTGAATAAGCTTAATGCATGATATGCTAACTCTACTCAAACTGGAGTAGGGCTATAAAACATGTCATCACTATTAAATTGCACTTACCCGACAGAAAACTGCAAATATTCCGCAACAACAATTACATATGAAGCAATGCTCACAGTTTCGAAAAAGTGCAACGTGTACTGGTGAACTTCTGAATTGTTAATTTTTCTTCAACTATATCCCTTATAAAAACGAGTTCTTCACTTTATCACAATCTCTTTCATATAACTAAACAAAAAGCTGCAACGAAATCAAACAATCCAATATATTTAAGAAGCGCTTTAGGTCTACACGATTTAGAACATCTCAGCGGATTTGTCATCGGCAGCTGCTACCTGAAAACAGAGTTCTTCGTCAAACGTCGAAATAACGTCGTTATTATTAAAGGCGAATACGGTTCTGAAATCTTCGATCTTCAGTCGATAAGAATCCCAAAAACGTGGGGAAATTTCAGAAAACAGAACAAATTCTTTGGTGGTAACTAATACCTGGCATTGCTGATAATCAGAAACCAGATCATTCACTTAGCTTTGGCATTAGTGAAGTCTGCTTCATCCATACCCTCAGAGATATACGAATAAACGCTCTATGATGAGGCATTGCTTAAAAAAAACTATTATTGGTCCTACAAAACTTGAAAATCATCAATTTAAAGCATCTGTTACGTCACCGTTTAGTAGAAGCGAAAATCATACGTGTCATTCGCCATGAGCTACCAATAAGCATTACTCGATGGTAACCATTCAAGTGGAATTTTTGCCACTTGTGTTAATGCGGTTATGATTTATTCATCTTTCTACGCAGGATATAGTTATTGAAAAGCAAATAGAAACATCAGAAAAACAAAAGAAAGCAAAGATTAGTCCTACAACTGCATGTAAATCGTTTCATTTAATTTTAGCGATCACTCCAGCGCGAGGTTAACCTGTTTTTAACGAAATCGAAAATGTAAGAATAAGAAAGGCGAACCACTTCACCATTCATTACTTAGGTAGATTTTGGGTTAAAGAAAATAACATCGCATCCATCAACGATTCTTACACTCCGCTTTTGTTTTTATTCTCCTCCTTCATTTTGTTTTTCTAGCGGCATGAAACAGTCGTCAATCTACCACCACGAAGGAATAATACTCCAATAAAAACGACGACTTGCATTCAACGAAAAGTTGGGCAAAAAACACACTAAAACTTTTCTGATGAAAAAAAGCCGAAAAAAGGCTCGTACCCGCAAATTGGACACAAATCCTTTTGAGAATTTCCTGGATGGCGGTCGAATTGCTGGTGATCGTAGCTGATATTTCCAATCCCCGTGGAGGAATGTCGTAAACGATAGTCTTTGAAAAATGTAAACTTTATGAAACTTAGTACCAAAAAATCAAAAAAAACTCGAAAGATTCGATTCATTTTCAGATGCATACATTTTTTTATCTGATCCGTCTTCATGTCTACTGAGCGGATCCCAGCACTTCTCACATTCAATTCGTTTCCTGGCATCCATTCTCCATAAAGACCTACCAACTTTTACGTGTGGTTCAGTAGCTGCTTGAATATCTTCATTTCACATTGAATGTTGTAGAATGCTGATCTTGCGATTCTCTCTTGAGTCCCGAGATAGCCGGACTGGTTTGCTATCCGCTCTGTTACACATATATATATATAAACAAATATATATAATATATATGCATATATATATTATACATATATATATAGTTGGAAGCTTCAAAGAAAACTTCAGGAAAGGAATGATTTCCAGAAAAACTTCCACTTTTGAAATTTTTCCATTTAATAGACAAATGCTTCCTAACGGTTTACCGTCTCATCGTGGCTGGGAGGTGTTCCTGGGCGTCGGGCTCTGATGTACAGCGGGAGGATTCACCCCCCTGGCAGGGCCACCCAAACTGAGAACGGGTCCGGCGTTTCCATCAGAAAGCCTAGATAAGAGTAAACCAATACCAAGAAGCACCACCGTCCAGGTATCAAAGACCAATGGTGGCAAATCTCCCTTTGATCCACAAAGACTGCGAATGCCTATGGTGTTAAAAACCTGAAGCAGATTTTGGCCAAGTTGATCTCGGGATTCCAGGGAACCACAATGGCTTAATCAGCAAATGCCTGAGAAGTGGAGATTGTGCTAGGGTTCGCACAACCAGTGAAGATGGACTGTTCAAGTATCAAGTAGGTATGAATAAAGAAATTAATACCTTACCTAATAACTGGCTTGACAACTTACCTAAAAGTTATGAGGAATCCAATCCACGAAGTGCGACTAGTTTTTGCTTTGTATGTTAAGCGTCACCTCGTCTACTTCATAAATATATCAAATATCAATTCCTTTCCTTGGTTGATTTATATAGACGCAAATGAAAGAAAACATTTAACAATGTTCTTCTAGTTCCACTTTTTTTGTTTCTTTCTGTCTTGCTCTTTCTATTACTTACTTGGATACTTGGATGGCCTGTCTTCACTAGTTGTGGGACCCTAGCATAAGTTCCATTCTCCGGAAATTTACTGGTTTAGTTATTGTGGTTTTCTCGAGTCCCGAGGACAGCATGATCAAAGTCGCCCTGGATCATCACCACCATAGGCAGTCGCCGCCCTAGTGGATCAGGGGGGAATTTGGCACCATGCGATTTAGTTTGATACCAGGACGGTGGTGTATCTTGGCATTGGTTTACTTTTAGGTAAGTTTCCTTAGGTAAATGAATAAAAAATGACAAACACTCGTATATTTGCAGAAAATTGATTACAGCCCCGAATAATCTGAATACATCTCCACATCATATGTACAAACAATTCCGTTAAGTTTAATGGAATTCATGAGAAAATGAAGCGTTACGGCTAACGTTCATGCTCATTCTGCCTCCAAATATCGCGGCAACTGCAAGATATCTGCCATAATGGTGGTCACATGCCGCCATCATGTTCTTCGCATCAGAGCACTACTCCATCAACTCCGGTACGGACATGAGTCGATGCTAAAGATGAAAATTTAACATAAAAATAAACAGTGATGAAAAGTAGAGAACAGCACTTCAAACAAAGGTTAACGTATTTTCCTCCAGTACAAATTTTCGCTAAATAGAAAGTCCTTAAAACAATTGCTAAGCATCATATTTATTCTAATGATTACCTTGACAGTGTGCTCATTCACAGAAACTTGAACGTCACAATTAAAGAAAACGTTGTCTAGGAAAGCTATAGAAACATAGAACATCATATTTATTAAAAGAAAGTAAGATGTGGTGTCCAAGTATCATCCTCAAGGACAAATCTCAAGCCCGTTAGTCGCGAGGCCACCTGGGCCGCACCCAGATGGTGGATAAGGAGTTAATGGCGAACAAAAGCAACCCTATGCTTCTCTGAGACACAGGTGGATCCGATAGATGGACTCGTTGTTTCTGCTGCACCGATTTGGCAAAATTTTGCCTGTTCACGAGGACGTATTCATGCATTCGCGCCTGTATGTGTTCCCGTTCATGCGGATTGTACTCCACGAGTCGGTTCGAAAAAACCCTGCTATCAAGTGATAGGGAAGTATGGGAAGTATATGGGAAGAGGCTAGAAGTCCCTGCAGACAAACAAACCCCTCTTCTAATACGAAAGAAAATGGGCAGGTACCCGCGAGTATGGAAATCCCACGTTTAGAGCTCAGCAAGCTACTCGTGGATATCATCTGTACCAGCAGTCGTCCCGTTCAACGTCGAGTGACTCGAGCGTGCGCCAGTGAATCATCCATTTTTCCCAGTAGCGCGCAAGTAGTAGTACAGTAGCCCAGCGGGTTCCGCTCGTTGTAGGAACTCGTCGAGCAACAAGGCTATCTTCCAGGCTTCTCGTGAAGGACTCTGACCATCGGGTCCGTATTCTTCCTGCAGTACGTTTGATATCTGGAGGAATCCTGTCGCTAACGATTATTGTCCCAGCGGGGGTTGTTCATACACATTACGTGTCTGGTCTAATTCACCTTCAACTGTTTGGCGTACAAAACGACATCCTTTTTGAGCAATGACCGTTGAAACAGGTCGAAGCTTCGGATGCCTTCCCTCATTTATGTGATAACGGAAACTCTAGCATCGTCCTTTAGACTGCACGTTCAATAACGCTGAAATCTTTCATCCTGCTCACGCAGCGACCAGGCTTCCGATGCATATGTTAAAGCAGGAAGTACCGTTGAGTCGAAAAAATGGGCACATAGTCGGGTGTCCTTTGCTCTCTTCACTACATCCTCGATTCTTTTGAAAACTCCCCAAGCCGCTCGTTTCCTTCTACTCAATTCTGGAGTTAATTCGTTCATCATGTTGATTTCTCGACCTAGATAGACGTAACTTGAACATCCGGAGATATTAGTTTTGTTGAGCGTGAATGAGACATATGCAACCAATCCGTTCCCCATGAACATACGTTGGCATCAAATGATAAACACAATAAAAGAAGTAAACAGCATTCACCTAACTTCGAAAAAGCCCCAGATACGCAGTGCTAAAAGGGACGAATACGGAGAGCTTTCTAAAACCATAGAGCCATTCTACACTACCTAAATAACACGAAAAACTAAAAAGATGACCTGTGCACCTACAATGCACGATCACCTCAACCTCGGCCCAAGATAGAGGACTTGATCGTGCAAACAATGAAGATAACGTAAGACGTCATCGGACTGGGCAAGATGAGAAGACGCCACATATTCAACGCGGTCCAAGATACCAGAGGAGAAGTGTTCCTCGCAAAATTTCATTGTAGAGGAGGCGATGGAGTCGGTGTTCTCGTTAACACGAGTCGCCCATGAGGATGGATTCGTTCGAACAGCTAACAACCTGAATCCGACGTTTACGGCTGAAAAGATATGCATCAATGCCAGATTTGATAATCTTCGTCGTCTTTGCAAATATATCAAGCTTTGACAAAGTAGAACCGTTTTACATCAACTTGGAGGAGTTTTGCAGAGAAGACCACATATTCTTTAAGGTCATTACTGGAGATTTTAAGGCTAAGCGACCCAGAAAAAAGCCTGAATAAAGAATTGGATTAGAACGCCACGAGCGCGGTAGCGACTGTCTGAACTTATGACGACCGAAACCTTTCATGGTAACACGCAGTTCCAGAATCCCTGCTCTCCACAATGGATATGAGAGTGTCTCAATGGAGTGTACCAGAACGAAATAGACCACATTATAGGAAATCGAAGGTTTGTATGACCGATGTCACTTTTGTCTCAAAAATCTACACAGGATCAGACAATCGTTTCCTTCGTGCAAGATATCACTTCTTTTAAGAAGGAGAAAAAGCCTCTAAATTCAAAAAGCGAAGCCAAAAAACTATCATAAGCTGGGAGTTATTCAGTTCATTAGTCAGCTCTTAGGCCATTCTTAATAATATAGGCAAAGAATACTACCGGCTCATTCAACATCTTCACGCTTGCGCTATAGAAGCCGAGAGTCTAAAGGCCACAAATAGACGTCTACCTCCAAAAACACTCCAGATGGCGCGCCAATATGAAATCACATAAACAATAAGCAACCGCCAGTTCATGTCCAAACTTGCAAAACAATGCACATCGGTGGAAAAAAATATGTCTTAAAGAGAGAAAAGTAACCGTTATGACCAAAGCTACAGACGCCAACAAAAACATGCGCAAAGTCCATCGAAAGTTTATCAATTACAAAACAAAGATGGTTGCACTCCAACGCTCAGACGGAGCAATTACAGCTTTCAGAAAGGCAAGAGGAAAAACCGTTCACGATAACAACTCGGATCTCTTCAATAGCTACGTCCTCCTGCCCTTATACGAAACAAAAAAAGATGGATATATCACCCTATCAGTTTTTCTTTCTCAAATACGACATGGCATTTCGCCAGCGAAAAATCAATGAGCACCTGGTCGGAGAGGATAAGACCTAAACACCCGAAGAACTTTCCATTAGTAAACATAAATGCACCCATCCGGCTATTCACTCGCTGTCTGTCAGAATGCAAGGCTACTATTCAATAGAACACAAGCAAGACCTGGTTACTGTTCAAAAAGAGTGACCTCCACTACTGCAACTACCGTTTGCTATTTTTCGTTTATAAAATTTTTACTTGAGTCGTCCTAAACAGGAGAGGCAGAACACTAAAAGACAGATAGCCATGTTGGCAAGCAGGCTTTCGAAAAAGAGACCGCTTTTTCCCAATTTCTTCGATTTAAGGACAGTTTTCGATTCAGTTGAAATAGAAGTAGTCATGGAAGCCCTAGACAGCCGGGGAGACCCTATTCGCTAGATAGAGGTATTTCGTGAGATGTATGAAAATATCACAAGAAAAATATCATCATTCTATACCGATGTTAACTTACATCAAAAGTGGGGTGAGATAAGGAGATCCCACCTCGGCAAAATCATTTTACCACCACCCTCAAAAACACCACGCGAACACTTGAATGGGACAACATGGGTGTGAAATCCGAGGCTCGGTAATTACACCATCTTCGCTTTGCTAATGACATCATTCTTTTAAGACGACGCATTAGCAAGGTATAACCAATGGTTGCCGACTTTGATAATGCTTGTGGAAAGACTGGTTATCGACTAAATCTCACGAAAAAGGTGTTCATGAGGAAAGCGTTCGTTTGGTGTTTCCTATCTCTGATCAATAGTATGAAAATCTCCGACTACTAAAATTACTTTAATCTAGGTCAGAAAATCAACACGATGAACGACATAGCTCCATAGTGAAGCAGAAGGAAACGAGCGGCTTGGAAAGCTTTTAAGAGCATCGAGGATGTAGTGAAGAGAACAAAGGACACCCGACTATGTGCCCACATTTTCGACTCTACGATTTTTCCTCCCTTGATATGTGCGTCAGAAACCTGGTCGCTATGTAGGCAGAATGGAAAGTCACTCAGCGCTATTGAACGCGTAGTCGAAAGGACGATGCTAGGAGTATCCTGTATCACGCAACTGAGGGAAAGGACCCGAAGCTCCGGTCTACGTGAACGATCAAGGATCAAAGACGCCGTCCTATAAGCCAAGCTGTCGAAGATGTGGCGAGTAGGATACGTAATGCGTACGAACAACACTTGGTCGACAATATCGTTAGCGAATGGATTCCTCGGAAAGTCAAACGCACAGTAGCAAGATGACCGAATCAAAGCTCGGACGTCTCCATGAAGACTCTAGAAGTAAAATTGGTGCTCAACGCTCCGCTAGAATGAGCAGAACAAACTAGGCTACCCTTTCACGGGACAGCGAGAAATGGAGGATTTACTGGCTTCCGCCGGGACCCCTCGGTGATCGGTGAAACGATAGGTGATTCAAGTGAAGACCCAAAGCAAAATAAAATAAATCGACTAAAATCGAACTGAATTTAAAACGGGAACAGGTACACAGAATTCCTGATGTTTAACGACCTGTATCACCTGTAGTCCCGTTGATCGATGAGTGACTCGAGTGGGTGCCAAATAAATCTACCACTTTTCCCTATCGCGTGCAAGAGTAACCCAGTGGATTCTGCTCGCTCTAGAGACTCGTCGAGCATCATACCTTTCTTCAAGGCTCTTTGTGAAGAACTCAGACGATCGGGTCGGTGATCTTCCTGCAATACGTTTGACATCCCGAGGAATCCAGTCACTAACAACTCTTGACCATCGGTTGTCATTCATACACATTACGCGTCCGGCCCACCTTATCTTCGACTGTTTAGCCTACAGAACGAAATCTTTGATCTTTCATCGATGACGTAGATCGGAGCTTCGGAACCCGTCCCTTACTTGTGCGGAACGGGATACTCCTAGCATCGTCCTTCCGACTGCGCGTTCGATAACGCTGAGTGACCTTTCATCATGCCTACGCATCGACCAGGTTTCTGATGCAATACGTTAGGGCAGGAAGTACAGTTGGGTCGAAAAGGAGGGCACAGAGTCGGGTGTTCTTTGTTCTCTTCACTACATCCTCGATACTCTTGAAAGCTCTCCAAGCCGCTCGTTTCCATCTGCTCCTCTCTCGAGCTAGGTTGTTCATCATGTTGATTTCCCGAACTAGATAGATATAACTGCAGCTTTTGGAGATATTCGTTCCGTTGAGCGTGAATGTGGCATGCAAAACCAATCCGAACATCGTTTTCGTGAGATTTAGTTGAAGACAAATCTTTCCACAGGTTTTATCAAAGCCGTCAAGCATACGTTCCACTTGGCTAAACTTTGGGGTTATAAGGACAATGTCATCAGCAAAGCGAAGACGATGTAACTGCCGGCCATCAATTTTGACTTCCACATTATCGCATTCCAATGTTCGCATGACGTTCTGGAGGGTTGCGGTAAATAATTTTGGCCAGATGGTATCGCCTTGCCTAACACCTCTTTTGACGTCAATGTTAATGTCGTTATGGAATGGTGATACCTTGGTTGTGAAATTTTTGTAAAGCTCGCGAAGAATCTTTAGAGATTGAACAGGAACTCCTTGATTATCAAGAGCTTTCATGACTGCTTCTATCTCAGTTCAATTAAAGGCCTTCTGTAAATCGATGAAAGTGAGACAGAGCGGTCTTCTGTACTTTCGTGATACTTCAATGAGCCTTGCTACCGTGTGGATTCGCGGTAATCGTATTGAATCCTTTTCGAAACCCTACTTGCTCACGTGGCTGTCCTTTGTCTAGTGTTCTGTCAATCCTGTTTAGGACGACTCGAGTGGAAAGTTTGTAGCCGACAGACAGTAAGTAGATTGGGCGGTATTTGCCGATATCGTGTAGGTCACCTTTCTTGAACAATAGTACGGTCTTGCTGGTCTTCCACTTAGTAGGGACTTTGCGTTCTGACAGGTAACGTGTGAAGAGCCGAGCCAGTGTGTTTAGGAGGACTGGTGAAAGGTTCTTCAAGTGTTCTGATCTTACCCTGTCCGGACCTAGTGCTGTTCGATTTTTCACCGACGATATGGCATGCCGGATTTCAGAAGCGAGAACCGGTGGTACAACATATCCATCCTCCTTTATTTCATATGACGGAAGGTGGACGTGGCTATCGAAGAGATTCGAGTAGTAATCGTGAATGATTTTCTCCACTGCCTTTCTGGACGCTGCAACTGCTCCGCCTGGGCGTCGGAGTGCAATCATCTTGGTGTTATAAATAGCGAAGCTTCGGTGGGCTATGAGAATGCTTTTCCCAGCCTCTGCAGCTTCGAACATTACTACTGCTCTTCTATCTTTAAGATTTTCTTTTGTCGCCTGTCTGGATTGTTTTTCAAGTTCGGACGTTAGTTCGCGATTGCCTGCTGCACATCCTGATGCGATTCCACGCTTGCGTATCAGCTCGAGTGTTTCTTGAGACAAACGTCTCTTAGTGACTTTCGAACTCTCAGCTTTCATAGCGCTAACGTGAAGGTGTTGAATGAGCCGATCGTACTTTTCGTCGATGTTATCCACAACAGCATCTTCGCGCTAACCGACTAATGAATTGAATAAGTCCCAGTTTGCGGTGGCTTGGACTTCTATTTCGGAATTTAGCGGCTTATTCTTTTTCGGGGAGAAATAGAATCTTGCACGAAGGAGGTGATGGTCGGATCGCGTGTAGAGTTTTGGGACAACGGCGACGTCTGTTAGGCAAAACCTCTCATTAAATAAGATGTGATCTATTTCGTTATGGTACTCTCCATTGGGAGACTCCCACGTCCAGGCAGAGGATGGGGCTTCTGGAATTGCGAGTTACCACGGATTGTCTTAGTCGCCATGATAAACTCAGATAGCCGCTCACCCTGTCCGTTTCATTCTATTCCATGGGCTTTAATGTGACGTTCTTCTGACATTCTTCTTCGTCCAATCTTGGCGGTGAAATCTCCAATGATGACCTTGAAGAATGTGTGGCCTTCTCTGTAGAACTTCTCCAAATCCATATAGAACGCTTCGAGTTCTTCTTCGTCATAGTTTGATGTCAGCGCGTAAACGACAAAGATTGTCAAAGCCGGAATTGATCCACGCCTTTTTAATCGTTAACGTCCGATTCGGGTTGTAAGTTGTTTGAATGAATGGGACATGGACGTTGACGAGAACGCCGACGCCATCGACTCCTCAGTGTCGCATGTTCCGAGGAACAGTTCTTCTCCGGTGTCATAGGCGGCGTTGAAAGGCTACCGTCTTCTCGTCTCGGCCAGACTGATGACGTCGTACCTTATCTTTCTTCGTTGCATGAGCAAGTCTTCTATCGAGGACTCGGATGCAAACGTACGTGCATTGTAGGTACAGATCGTCACCATAGTCCTTTGAAATCCAGGCAGCTTCCATTGGTTCTCAGATTTTAGCAGCCTCTCCGTACTCGTCCTACCCAACGCTGCGAAATTGAGGGCTCTTTCGGGGTCAGTGGAATGAGGCCCGTTTTTTAAACTGTTTTTAGCTTTTTGATACCCACGTACAGCTTACTGAGCTCTGAACGTGGGAGCCGGGTATACTCACGGGTAGCTTACCAGGTTCTCCCAGAGTGGACATGGAGCTTATTTGTTGGAGGCGACTCCTAACCGCCTATACTTCCCAGTCACTTGATTGCCGGCTTTTGGCCGAATTGACTCGTAGAATACAATCCGCATGAGCAAGAACGCACCCACACACGCATGCATGAATACGCCTAGCAAACACAGAAAGTATGTGCCAAATCGGTGCAACAGAAACACGGAGTCCATCCCCTGGTTCCAACTGCGTCTCAGGGAAGCAACGGTCGCTTTTCGTCCGCGATTAACCCCGCCACCTGGGGACGCGCCACGTAGCCTCGCAACTAACCGGCTCGAAATCGCTCATTTGAGCGAGATCCGTGATGTTTAACGGCAGAATAATGAATTTCAACGATTTTCCGTAGTGCTTTCTTCACACTGCAACAAACTTTTCGCATTTCTCGTCAGACAGATTCGACTCTTCCAAATCTCTTTCTAGATTTGAATAAGACTCAATCCCAAGGGGTTGCTCATACATGCTTGACTCATTAAGATATCCACTAGCGCTTAAGCGATTTCTAGTTCAACAATAGTAATCTACAGGCAGGTGAATATTGAAGTTATTACCATAATCGGTGCACTGATAGCAATCAACTCACCTAGAAAATTTTCAAGTATAGTGTTGCTAATCAGGCAAGCGATTGTTCACATTAAATCTACCTGGCTATTTCAAGAATAAAAACCTATCCTCTCTTAGTGGATTTATACGCTTAACACAAATACAAAGGTACATCTTAACGCCTTCTAATGTGGCACCAAAAGTCCAATTTTTATACTTTACATCAATGTAAATTCGAAGTTTCGTTCACCTGCACCTACCCATTTGTTACTGAGAACATGTTATAATACTGTTATATCACGTGCTATGCCAGCACTGAAGTCTCTTTTTAGCTCCAATGCGTGGATTGTATCTACTAACATGAATAAGACGCAAACGCACCATTAAATAAAGTGCAATAAACGTACTGCTTCAAACTCAAACCTCTTCACTGACTCTTGAGCTTAATGGCGCGAATCCAGTAATGAGAAAATGCAAACGAAGGAACGGCATCATATTAACGGCGAGCTTAAGAAGATCAGTATTAAGCTATAAGTAAGAAAAAGAAGCAGTTCCAGTAAAAAAAATGGGAGGATTTTTCTCAATTACTTACTTGACCAGGAAAGCGTAAGCAGGTGGTAACACACACTACTCATATCCGAAGAGAGAAGATGATTCAAATCGCCATACGTCGGAGTGCCCAGCTTCAGTGTACGCAGGCAAATGTCGTATAAGGCCTAAACGTGAACTCATGCAAAAACATTATTTTACACATTTCTCGTTTATTCGCAAACTTCATAATCTACTATAATGAAAAGCAGTACGTCAGAAAAGAAACAACAGACAAGCCCCACATGAAATAAACATCAATTCAATTTGTATTAATTACAGGAAAAGTAGACGAGATCATTAAAAGGATAAAGGATAAAGCTCTCGACCTTGATCAATCCTTGATAGATGCGCCAAATAGTCGGCTTTATTAAGCATCGTTTGAAGGTTACTGAATGCATATCTAGCCTTGATCAATCCTTGAGAGATAAGTCATGCATTCGACTTCACTAAGCAACGTTTGGAGGTTACTGAGTACATGTCTGGCCTTTACAACGACTTGTGGTGGCCTACCGATGTATCGACCCAGTGCTGCTATCCCCTAAACAAGTTTTGTACCAATTTGCCGACCCCGGAGGGATGGAAGGATTGGTGGGCCATGGCCGCTGGTATCGACTCCACGTGCGTGTTGCAGAGCGCTTCCGACCACTGCGTCACACGCGCCCTAACGACGACATCATTACCTCTTACAAAAGCAATTTTTCCATGCCAGTAAACGAGAAAGGGAGGGAAAGAAGTCAACAGGAAGCATATGTTTCACAAAGAGCACATAAATTTAATCATTCCCATAAGGTAATGTGTAACCAAATTTCATGCATTTAGCAAAATACATTAACTAACTGAATGAAAAATAGCATACTATAAGACCATTTATGTGTGAATTGTAAAATAATCCTGAAAATGAAATTATCAAAAACTCTGCTTACTTCGTTATCGATGCAGAAGGTTTCGTCGGTATTCTCTATAAGCTGAGCAACAGACAGAGTTGCGTTTCACGGCGCTACATCCTGAGAAGCGACCTTATAGTTATCTGCTCAGACGGCTTTTGTCCATGTTTTGAAAATTCACCACACACATCGAAAAAGTAAGAAGTCTTTAATAGAGTGGTAGAGAAGTTGTTATTGCTTCAAGATCGTTCCAGATTTTATGTTCTGAACTAACCACTAGTATAGCAAAACCAAGAACACCTAACCGCATAAACATCTTCGGTACAACGAAAGGAAAGTTAGTAACCTGCCATATCTGAAGCTTTCGGGCTGGGCACCATTGAAAACGTATTTACTGCACGATCCGAATATTCCTCACGGGCTTTTGCCATCAAGAGAGTGCCCATACCAGAACCGGTGCCACCTCCGAGAGAATGCGTCATTCGAAATACCTAAACATAAAAAATGGTTCTTAAGTGTGTGGCTTGCAATATAAATAGTGCTATCTTCAGGCTCAGAGAAACAAGTTTGTAGTTGTGGTCAGAACTTGAGAAAATAGTATGGGTAATTTTCAATATGTCCTCTTAATAAAGTTGAATGCCTCCTTCAACTCTTCATTAGGTGATTTCTCATTTCTCAAGTTTTATACAGTTTTGTCATTTTAAAACAATAAAAATAAAAGCTTTGCAAACATACCTGGAGGTAATCACAACTTCCGGCTTCTTTTCCTACTAGATCGAGCACATTTCCAACGAGGTCGGCGCCTTCGGTATAAAGTCCCTTTGCCCAGTTGTTCCTGTTTTCGGGCCACTCCACACGTAAGACATTTTTGTATGTGTAGCATATGTGTTATTGTACGGAAGTAAATGTATGCTGTTTAACAACCTCGCGATTGCTGGGAGAGAAAACGACGAATTCATGTTCCAATGCCGAGGTTAATAGAAAGTCGATCCTGGGTACTATTATAAGATATCTTCCTCGTCGACTGCTCAAACGAACACAAAGGTGACAGTCAGACAAACGTGATGACGGAAGCAAGATGGAGACTAAAGGAGGACACCTAGGAAATCGCTCGAAGCTGGAGTTCATTTAAAAAACCTCACATTAAAAAAATAAAGATTGATGGCCCTTTATTACTGGAGACCACATGTTACAAGCATGTGTAATGCTACAAGAAAATGAAGAGGGCCTTATTAACATCGACTTCAAAAGAGGAGCTAGGTAAAGCGATACGATCTCGCCAAAATTGTACACGGCCACTCTCGAGAATGTCATGCGAATACTGGGATGGGACAACATGGGTACGAAATCCGAGGATCGGTAATTACACCATCTTCGCTTTGCTGATGACGTCATTCTTATAAGATGAAGCATTACTAAGGTGGGACAAATGCCTGCCAACTTTGGTAACGCCTCTGGAAAGATTGGTCTTCGACAAAAACCTCACAAAAACGATGAAGATGAAGAACGGATTAACTTCGCATGCTCCATTCACGCTCAACGGCACGAATATCTCCGAATTCTCCAGCTTCGTCTATACAGATCAGGAAATCAATATGACAAATGACATAGTTCCTGCAGGGGGAAGCGAACCGCTTCGGTATCTACCAAGAGCATCGAGGATATAGAAGGAGAACAAAAAACAACAAAGAAGAAGAAAGAAAGGATTCCGTGTCCAACTTCTCATGACTCTCCCGCCTTGGAGTATATGTCAAAAACTTCGTCGCGATTTAAGAAGAATGAAGGATTATTCAGCGCTATAGAACGCGCAGTAGAAGGTAGGATGATAGGAATATCCCGATTCACACAACTGAGGGAGAGTATTCGAAGTTCCGAACTGCGTGAACAACCAAAATCAAGGGACACTGATATGTACGGCAAATTGTCGAAGATGAGTTGGGCCAGACACATGATGCGTATGAACAACAACCGATGGACAAGAGCCGTTGGCGACTGGATTCCTTGGAATGTCAAATCCATAGCAGAAACACTACCTACCCGATGGTCAGAGCTCTTCACGAAAGCCCTAGAAAAATATTGCCAATGGGCTACTTTTGTATGTGACAAGGAGAAATGGAAGATTTACTGGTGCTCGTTCCAATCACTCGATTATCAACGGAACGACAGATGACAGGTGATTCAACATTACATTCACACTATTTCCAGTGGCTATCAGTAGTCCTCCACAGTCACTATAATAACGAGCTAATTAACCAGTACTTTATCTTGCAATGAGCCAAATCCTGGTTCAATCTAATGTTAACATATTCACTTATCGAAGACGTAGTCTGGACTAAGAAGTGCTTCGAATGGTCCAGCCGCGATGTCTCATTATCTTTACCGCTTTTGATCGAACACTAGACAAAACAAGGTGATCTGGTCGCTTAGCAATAGGCGTGATTCTAGCCCGATTAAATATTATTAATACAAGGGGTCTTAGCCGAAGCAGTGGTACAATGGTAAACGATGCAGTCCATCAGGGAGCAAGTTACTACTATTTCGACCCACTCCCCAACGCTCTCCACCAGTACACACGAAAACTCCTAAGCCCCGATATTTTTTCCGAGATTGCAATGAGAATTTACTCGACAAATATTCTGCAGCATTCGTAAAGACGGAATCCTGAAGCAATAGCCGAACATCACACGCAATGTTCGAAAATCTTTGTGGACGAATGTGGATGAATGCGAGGAAAACGAGTGGAATTCAAGAAGTGCTGGGTTCCTCACAGCATATGTGATGACGGATAGAGTCACCTTCGAATCGACTTGGTTTCCACACTTTCCGGCTTGAATAAGAACGATTTCGCACATTATAGCACATACCACCACTTGCTGTGTCTCAAACACAATGCCCGCCCCTTATCAATCGATTTGTGAAATTAACAGTGATATTTCCGCGTCTCTGACGAGTGCACACTGTCTTCTTCAGCAGTGAGATAAGTTTACAAGTTGGATTGATCTGCGTCCTCACAAATTCACACACTATTCTCATCTTCGGCATCGTCCACATCATCGCCAGCTTGTTCATCGTTGTTTGTCAGCTTCGACCTCTCCCTCTCTCCATAAGGATTTATAAATAAGATATTCATAGGGAAGCGTACTAAGTAGAGTGAATCCCGAGACCAGATACATGCATTTCGCACTCATGACGTCACTATTTGAATTATTCCAGTAAGTTTCTGATGGTACTTACGATACTACAACTTTTCCATACCTATTCGTTGGTATTATCTTGATCTAATAATGAAGACAGCATTCGATGTACATCGAGAAACTCCTGAGCATGAGAAAAATATCTAATAAGGAACACCTGAAGGATGGTTGAATGAATGCTTTTACAAATACAAAGGTCTCTCGCCTAAACAACAAATGAACTTGACGAAGCCAGTTAAAGACGGATGTCAAAGTAATTTCGCCTCCTTAAATGATCATGAAAGAATGCGCTCAGTTAATATACTACATTACACCACGCTCGACGGAACAACAGCATAACATCAATAACCTTGTCAAGTACTAAGCTTACCGTGCTAATCTTCTACACAGAACTGCCACTAGTAAAGGCCAGTGCTTATCGTTACCGTTAGGTTAACTAGATGAAAGTATTCATAGAACTGTCACAACAAATAAAGGAGAGAACAAGAAACGGCAAAAGACGACTAATTCCAGGAAAGAAAAACTGTCACACAGTTTAGGCAAGCAAAGTTCGAGAAGTATTCCTAATCGTGAAAACTTAACAACAATAACTATAAAAGCCCCTCCACACTGAAGTTTAGCGTTTAGATTACAAAAGGCTGCTCCACTTTGCACCAGAGTACGGTATGTTTCACATAAAGCCTAAAGTGTTTGCGCAATCAGTACGCATTTGAGTTTCGATGGAATAATACAACTACCTACGAAACCAAAGCAATGTTAATACACTCGCCAAGTTTGCAAAAAAGCAATAAATGTTACCGGAAATCTAAATGCTCCCTAAGCTATCGCAAAACTGGGTCAAACGTCTAACGAACAACTTCATTCAGCAGAAAGGTTCTTAAATCAGCTTATGCAGCTGCATATACATACCATAAAAGACCAGTGGTTTGCTAAACTCACATAGCTCTAAGATGAAGGAATGTTTATTAAAGCTAGCATGGAGAAACTCAAGTCATCAGATACCTACAAAGAACATTTACAATAAATAAATAAACAACAGCAACTCGCACATAAGTGAAATCATGTAATAACAGTTCTCATCGAATTCTACTGCACACATGAAAATTACCCGTGCAATCAAAATATGAATAGAATGGGAAGCAGGCTGTCAGAAATTCTCGGCTTTATTTCAATCCTCTTTATGGACATTCAACAAAGCAAACAATACATACAACTTCTTAACAGAAAGAAAAAACCCTAGCAGAACTATAAAAAAAGGAAGGATGTATCGACCCTTAAAAAGCAAAGGTCATAATTTGATGGAAAGAACGTTGCTACCAACTAAGTAATAGCAGGTTGTTGTGCGATGAATAATCGGGAGAAGAGTGCGATAGTCATAAAGGGTAGTGACAACAATGAGAAAACAACAGAGAAAACCCTGCAACTTCAATCCAACCTAAGCGAACGATGAAGTACAGGACTTTCACGCACTTCCGATGGAATTTCTACAAAGACTACCGGAGAACGTTCCTTAACATTCTCTTGCGCTCCATCAGCGAACTCAAAATTTGACGGCGACGCTGATGCCATATTGTTACTATAAAAAGCAAGAACTCAAATCCATTGAAATAATTTTCCGTGTACTCGCAAACGAGGCGTAATTGCATAGGTAAGAAATTTCAAACGAAAAATCCTTTTGCAAAAAGAAATTCTTATCTAAAGCTATCCATCACAAGTAAATAAACATCGATGTTGATGTGTATGAAAGTACCTGAGCGTGGAATGTTCTGCCCGCTGTCCTTGCAAATTTTGACTCTCTTCTCGAATCGTATCTTGCAATAAACGTCGGTTAATGGGAGATCCTCAAACAAAAACTCTGGCGGTCACAATTACAAACAGGAAAATATAAACAGCAGAAAATATAAACAAGTGATTACCTATGAAGGAAAGCACGACTGGCAGAAATATTAGACCGTGTAATGCTCCTATTACCACAACACCCAAGAACATTCGAAAGTAGAACACCTAAAAGGGAAGAGTCACGTGTACCATTAGCTTTCCATACCTAACACTTGAAAGATCTCCATTCGTCCCGGTAAAACGTCACAGTCACAAAGTGGGCTTCGCAAAATAGATAGCAATAAGATACCAGATATGAAACCTTTTATTTCTACTACTTTTAGCGAACGTAACCATGGGTAACTCTCTTAGTATTGCCATGGTGTGTGTTCTCTTCTACAGATTTCTAAACGAGGAAGTCGAACGGGTAACTCTCCTTGACGCTGACAGAAAATAAACTCCAGAGAGAAGACGTTCGTAATCCATTAGATCCAGGGTTACAAGGTGCGACAAGGGTAGCGGAGAGTGGATTATACGGAACTCAAGGAAAGACGCAGCTCGATTAATTGAAATTCGTTTTTGCTAGTCCGAATTGAAATCCCGGCTAGCCATCGATGGATATCGCATCGCCAAAACAACAAAAATAGAGTAGTCTATATGGGAAGTGACGATTTTCTTGTATCTTGGGCCAATAGTGCTCACAAGGCACCTTTAACGCGCAACATTAACCAGTGGAAATTTCAGTAGTACGGGATCTGCACAAGGATGCTAAGACAAGGACAAACATTACATAATCTAATTGCTAATTAATATGATCATATTATACACAGGCAATATATGTATTATATGTATACACACTATACACATATGTATGTACACGTACATGCATATATATACACAAATATACATGTATATATGCATGCATGTTTACACATGCACACATAGCCTTGTATATGTAGTATATATACAAGTGCATATAAACTGTCCAGAATGATACCAATATGCCAATTTCTAAAATAATATACCTTGAAAATTTGTGAATGGGCGAACGCCAACACTAATGTGCCTCCCAACATTGTCAATGTAATTCCAGAAAACACCTGAAGCGATCTCAAAAAAATAGACTAGGGAGACAGATAATCAACATTAAATCAATATAGTCCTACTGTAGATCCCATGTTTGCTAGTGCTTCTTCAGCTCTTTCCATACGAGTACGGCGAACAGAATGAGTAAAGATTCTTATTATATGAACGACGAATTCCACCGATATTCCAAGTGACTAAATCAACAAATCGATCATTATCATTCTCAGTGAGAGCCCACGTACCTTAAGGAAAAAATTTTAAAAATATTAACCAGACCATAACAAGGTTGGCGACAGAAATTGCGTTTAAATGAATATTCCAGAGTACCATGAGTCCAAGCATGTCAACCAAAATACACATAATTATCAACACTGCAAAACTTCAAGAATTAGGAAAAAATATTACAAAACAGCAACTCAAATGCATCATATTTCAAACGAGCACCATTCTCACATACCAGTTATGAATGCGCTAACAGGATCGAGACCGAGCAGAACACACGTAACAGCATAGACCACAGCCAATGACAGTGTGATTTGAGTACTAGCATCATAAATTATTGTAGAATACTGTTCGTAGAATACATAGAACACGCTGAATTTTCTTTATTTTAAAGGACCATTAAAATCTAAGCATGGCATAGAACACCTCACAAATACTCATACCTGTAGGGAAAAATGTGCACTTTGCCCTCAAATGACTGCTCAATCATACGAGCAACTTTTCTGGCTCCTTCCATGGCTACTAAAGAATACCAGTAACAAATACGCGATCTATCCAGCAACGTTACTGTAACTCACAAGTAAATTCCTGTGATGTACGGAGTGGAGTGTGATATGTCATGAAATGTGACGCTTGGACATGCCCACGAGGGTTGAGATGGATTGCATCTTTAAATGCTGCTCGACCGCTGAAATAAAGAAATACAATGCTCATTAAGATGTGAAACACAAAAATCATGTATGTGACAGAAAAATAGTTTTACACAAACGCAACTGGATAAGTTTCATTGGAACCTGCAGATTTTGACCAAATTGATACAGATCCACTTATTACAATACGCGCCCCACAAATTATATTTGTCCGTGTATTCACAGTCGAAATTATATTTCAAAATACTGAGCAACTGAACATGCGAGACTACGTCCAGGATAATACCATAATATGCCATAACGCATAGTCCGCATTTACGACCGCAAAACTTGTGTTTGAAAGGCTTCAGCTGTAATTTCTTAAAGTTTCAACTCAACAAGACTTTAAAGCACAAATAATGTTGTCGAAAAGTTAAACATAGTCTCAGATATTACGGGATGAAGCCTCCTTTATAAAACTGTCACGTAATCGAATCCTCAACCGAAGTTGTTGAAAATATAGGCAGCTATAAAGGAAACCACTACTGTTTCGAATGGGCCAAATTAGTCAGCCCGGAACCAATTCGGTGAAATTACTCCGTATGAATAGATTCAACTAACCCAACAATGCAATTTGCATTAGGTACGTCATTCATGAAATCCTTCAGATGTCTATAGAACCGTTCCTCAGTAGGACGACCATTGCGCTGATGTGGATCGCAAGCCGTGCAATTATAAGCTGTAGAAGAAATCATTCTCATTAGTTAAAGCATATTAGTAAGATGGGAACAAAGCTGGATTGAAAACTAACCATCTTTTCGACTACTAGGGCAGAACACATTCTTATCGTAGGTATATACTTTGCAGCACTCGCTTTCTTTGTTTAACCACTGAATCAAACTGTCCACCCAATTCAATACACTTCCCTTGATAAACGTCCTAAAAACGACGTAAGGATAAAGTTGTAAATATAAGTGATACGAAAGTAATTTGATACCGATTCGAATGTGCTGCAGCTTCATTGAGGATCGCACCTAACGAGTTTTCTGAGCAACCACCGATAGTGCAGAATTTATCCTCAAAATAGAAACACCATCAAAATACATCAACTCTTAAAATAACAAAAATATGTGAATACTAACTTGAATCTGCTTTGTATGCATATCAAGCTCTCCTTCCACTACAAAATAGACAGGAGGACCAACGTACATAAGGCGATCGAGGTTTTTGAAATGTAAGTACACATAGGAATCCTAAAATACATATCTGATATCACCACTAAGACATATTAGCAAAGAAACAAGCAAAGGGTCAGATACTTACTTCAGGTACAGCAACTTTTTGATCAAAACCAGCATTAAGGAAGGGAAATATGCACAATGAAGAACAAAACCAGAGAATAAATACAACGAGCTAAAGTTCACATATTTCTTTTGTTGAGCGAAGGTCTTAAAAAATTCTAAAAATTTCTTAACAACTCACCACTGTCATACGCATCCACTTTCGCATTAACTGGGGAGCCGCATATTTTTGCATCACCTCGAAGATGTAACCTTCACTTTCTACACGTTCGCTATCAAGTTTAGGATGATACAACAACTCCGGTTTTCCTTTCTGAAACAACCAGCTAAAATTGTGAATGCATTGAAGAAAGCAAAAAACTACTACCAGTGTGCAGACCTCTTCACGCTTACAATCCCAGAAGAAAATAGCTAAGAAAATTGTATTCTGAAAAATAAAGTCGAAAATTACAGCAAGCCCAGCAAATAGGGAAAATCCACGAACTGCAGGCATGTCAGAAATGGCACCTGAACACTAAATAAAAATTTAGACTATTGTAATGTGAACTCCACTAAATGATGTTAACGGAAAGTAAAACTTGGACATACCAACGAAAAAGCACAAACTCTCCGTAAGCGTGCTCAGAAGTAATGATGGCATGACTTGACCACAAACACGGGCAATTCGATCTTCCACCGACTGCCCTGGTGTAAATTCGAGTCGCTAAACACAGAAAAAACTGCATCATGCCTATAATCAAAGTATAAGTGTGATAAGATACCTGGTAAGCTTGAACAATAATGAAGATCCTATTAACACCAACACCTAAGACAACAAATACTAACACAACGAGAGCTGCTTTTGACGTCCCAATACCATACAATGAGAAAACTCCAATTGAACTGAAATTTTCAATTTACTATAACAAGTCAGATCGGAAATACGAGGCCTTCTTCCAATGCTATGTCTCAGAAAGTCTCATAGATCTTGAGCGAAATGAAGACGAAAAAATAACATTATGTGGAGAATTGTAAAAGGCAAACCGTACAAATTATCCTACGGAAAAATTCTCATGAACTCTATAACAGCATGATGCATAATTATAAGAGTTCCTCAAAACAACTACGCAAACGGCTGCGCTACTCATATAGACAACATTCTCCACCAATGCTCCCTAACTGCTCATGTATTTCTCTTGTACATCCCACAAATTGTTCCCTAACATTCATCTCATGTACGTTGTTCGTAACTGGCTAGAATAAGCTGTGTAGTGTCTCTCTTGGCTAACATCTGCACACATGAAAAACCAATGAATGAGAGCAGCTCTGAAACTCCTTTGTATGCTGACCTCGGTATTCGTGCAAAAACCATGGTTAGAAAGAGGAATAAGGCACAGCCGACCAGCATCTGCTTTCATTTCAGCAAACAGAATTCGTTAGTATTCATCTGTTTCCACTTCTTCTCGCGTTACCACTTGCTCCTCACTATTCTTGCTCAAGTTGTATCGTTTGCAAAAACTAATCGTCGTATTAATTCACCAGTCTATTACAGAAGCTACAATCTTATTTTCCAGTGTAACTCCTTGCTTATCACTTTATCTTTGCTTAATGATTTCAGACCTAACAACCCCTCCCTCCACCGGGTTCGGCAAATTAGTACCGGACTTATCTGGGAGGATAGCAGCACTGGCTCGATACATCGGCAGATAACCGCGAGTCATTGTAAAGGCCAGATATGTATTCAATCACCTCCAACGATACTTGACGAAGTCGAATGCATGGCAAATTCCTCAGCGATTGAACAAAGTCGACAGTTTTATCCCTTATCTTTCTATTATTGACTTCACCATAGTCTTGTCGTCTACATCGTTTACATTTCCTATATCCACATTCCTTGATATTGTCACATCGTTTACTTCTTCAGCACAATTCAGAACCTACCTCGTAGGTTGAACTGCTGAGTGTATCCTACCGTTTTATTGCATAACCATAATATAAACCTTAACATTCTATTCTCCAACACCTATTCACATCTCTTCAAACGTTAAAGGGTTATGTCTATACATTATAGATCTTTCAATTAATCGATATCACAACAAATCCGCCTTCGAGAGCCGAGCAGAGATAATCGGCAGCGAATAATCTACTAAACAGTCGTTTTGCTACTCTGTTATTCATTCTGTGGACTAATAAATCTACTGCCCTTCCAAGGATTTACCACCTCATTGTAGCTGGGAGGTATTCCGGGAGATTCGTCCCCGCAGCAAGGCCTCACAATCTGACAAGAAACCTGGCGCTTCAATAAGGAAGCCCAACGAAGAGTAAACCAATACCAGCACCCACCACCATCCTGGTATCAAATTAGTCGCATGGTGGCAAATCTCCCTCTGATACACAAGGGAGACGACTATCTAGGGCAGACTTTGGTTAGGTTGACCTCGGGACTCCCGAGAACAACCGCAGCCAAACTAGCAGAACTCGGAAAAAATGGAAAATAAGCTGGGGCACGCAAAACCACTGAGGACGGGTCATCCAAGTATCCAAGTACGTAATAAACCTACTGCTGAGCTACAACATATACTGGTGCATTAGCCATGATATATTTGTGGTTCACCGGTTGTTGCAATATTTCTACTGGTGAACCACTACGAAAACGATTACGTGTATATGAACTACTGTTATCTTAAAGTATAAATCTCCTGCAGATCAGAAAAGACAGGTACCTCGCCACACTGCACATTATAATAGCAATACCAGATATACCAGCAACAATTTTCGAATGAACCAGTAGGGTGAGTAAGTTGTTGCCAGTTACAATGTACTGCCCAAGTGCAAATGCCACGTAACCAATCATCAACACAGAACTGATCAGCACTGTATAGACATCTGACGAATTCTCTCTTTCGATTTCATCCTGAAAATAGGACATTTACTCTTTCGATATAGATTTGAATGAACAAATATTTTAAAAAACAATCCCCTTCTTCCACAAATACGACTCTAGTGAATACCAAAGCAGAACCGCTGGAAACCAGATTTTCTGCTACGCTCCTTTAAACTGAAAACCGAACACGGGTCCACATAGCGAATTTCCAGCACTAGATTTGTAAGAGATTTCAAGCACCAATTAAGGGCGCGTGTAGCGCAGTGATCGGAGGAGCCTTGCAATACACATGGGATCGATCCTAGCGCCCCAGGTTCATCAAACATTAAATCCTCCCGCTATCGGCAAATTGGCACCAGATTTATTTGGGAGGATAGCAGCACTGGCGCTAGTAGGCCACCGCGAGTCATTGTAAAGGCCAGATGTGCATTCAGACATCTTCTACGATGTTAAATGAAGTCGAATGCATGGCGCATCCCTCAGGGACTGATTAACGTCTAGAGCTTTTTAAGAATCAATTAGTTCATTAGAAAAGAGAAGATACTTAGAAGTCGACTCTTTACGTTACTGCAGTTGGAATTACTCATTGAGATGATACAAACAACAATGGAAAACATAAATAAAACCTATAATAAGAATGATACAAATAGAAAAAATAAAAAACCAAAGAGGCTGATAAACAGAAAATGTGGATGCACTGTACCAGTATCTCATTTCACTCAGGTACTCTTTCGAGCTTTAAACTGCGTTCCATTTCTATTCAAACATTTAAACCAACAAATTAAAACCTGCAGGGAATTTAAACAAACCGAGATTGATCTTTCGGCCATGAATGACACTTGGATATCGTCATGCTTGTAATCCATCATTAAATCGATGAACCTAAAGAAAATTTTCAGCGACTATAGGAAAATTCAATTTCTGTAGGTTAATAAAAGACTTCACTTTGATTACATTATAACAGTATAAATTAGATTATCGCCTTTTCATGCTTGTTTTATGTTCAGTTTGACAATGCTTGAAAAAACATATATATACATACCCACATATACATACATCCACACATATATACATATACACAGGCACATACATAATACATACATACATGTATATATACATATATATGCATACATACACATATATACACACATACATACATATACATACATACATGCTCTAACATACCCATCCACACACACACCCACATACATCTGTATGGTATAGAATAATAGATAACGAGATAAAATACAGCAACTAACGCTTGTTCCCATGTCATCGCCTTCTTAAGATTTGATGACTTTCCGTTGAGTGGGATAGTGATAATAACGGCAGTAGAATCGGTTATCTTTTAAAGAAAATAAATAACTGAAGCTTCGGACACTCATTAGATGAAAATGTGAAACACTTCGGTAACGCACTTACCGTATTCTCTGAAGTACCCCCGAAAATGAGTTCCGGATATATCGGGCCACCAAACGAGCCTAAGCAGCTCATGTTAGTCGACGTTTCAATATTATAAGGATTTCTAAATCAATTGGTTGGAGACAAAAATGGCACTTCCTCCATAGTTATAAAATTATTTAACATACTGTATACAATCGTAAATATGATTTAAGTAGTTCCTCGTCTCAGTTTTCTTCTTTGCAGGTGCGATTTGGTCCTCCTCCGCATAGTAGTCCAAATCATCCGATTCAGTTTTGAGCGAAACAGAAACAGGAACATCGATTGAGATGTTCAACAACGACACATTTTGCTGCAATATTTAATATAGTTTACTTAGGTGTGATACAACCACAATGATGCCAAGATATTTGCAAAACTCCGAATCGCAGGTGTCAGTGGTGGATAACGAACGCGCTATTACCTTTTCCGGGTGCTAACGCGTTCACCACCACACCATGCGAATCCTTCGTTTCGCCTGTCTCTTAGTTAGTTATTTATCGAACATTGCCATCATCAGTCACCCAATAGCGATATTTTACTGAATTCATCAACCCAATATGGAAAAAATACAGATGAGCTCTTCAAATCTTATTAGGAAATAAAAGAGATAGACTGCAGGAGTTCTGATGTAGAGGAACAAATGAAAACGCAGTAGCAAACCTGAAAGTAATTCGTCGGGCTGAAAATAAGGCAGTCGTAATCGTGACCCATCGGTCGAAAACAAACGTCATCTAGGGTCACTCGTCTTCCATCAGACATTGTTGCAGTGATGCCCAGAATTCGAGATATTATCACAAAGGCCTAAACACCTCAACAATTCTTCTACTGCTAAAGTGCACCAAGAAAAAAAAAACGTACCTCACTTATAAAATACTTCTGAAAAACCGCTCCCATTTTGGTTCCATGGGGACCTTCGATCATATGCTCCATTGATTTTGGATACATAATAATTTGCTCGACTCGATAAATTGGTCTGGAAAAATTCCTAAATAGGAGTGAAAGATAAGAATAAGTAAAAAAGGTGCTTACCCGAAGCTCTGCTCAAAAATTTGTTTCTCTTGACGAGCTAGACTATGTGCTGAGGTCCACATCTCCAGAGGGTTATTCGTGAACTTCAAGAACACGTTGCCGGAAATCGAAATTGTCGCAATAAACGACCCAAACAGAAACATAAAACACGCATGTTGGACGACGAACTGAAAGTAATCAAAATATCGAATATTGATTGATCAGCTACTAGTAATATTCACTCGTCCAAACATTTCGCTATTGTATTTGAGCTGATCTTGTATCCAAGCGCCCACAGTCCGAATACGGCCCATATTTGTGCTCACGCTCTGGAAAGTTTGGCACTGAACAAAATACAAAAGGCTTTCACTTTTAACTCATTTTTGTACTTTTTAAGAGAACATACCTTATAGTCTATACGATCCAACTGAGAATCAGTCGTACTTGTACTGTGGAATAAGTGGAAGAACCCCATGAATATAAGTACACCGGCGAATATAAACAAAGACACAAACAGCAGGAACACTTTGCATCCCATTCCCAGTACTTGGCAAACTTCCTGAAAGATTACATTCTAAATTTAAACCACAGTTTACATTTCTCTACACGTTTTCGTAGTTCTACACATGTAATACTATCGATTCTCCAATGTCATGATTCATTTCTTCAAATATTCACAAACGTAAACCATTGAATTCGCTAGCCATGACTCATCGCAAGATTTAAACTCCGTTCAGTTCAAATGATCAAAGAGACCACAATCCAGAGGCTTATTCACCTTCGCTAAGTTTTACCAAGTACCTCATTCTCTTCTTACCTACAGGTTTTTAAACTTCTAGTGCAATATAAAAACCTATAGAAAGCTCATCAGGTGACGCTTGACTATGTACACAAGAAAAACCGGAAATGCTAACAGTGTCTAAAGCTGATGCACGGAGCCTTTTGTTTACACTGTGATAGCTTCAAAATGTACACAACATTCGAATTAACATCATAAGGGGAAGTTTCACAGTGTGCACCTATAACACGAGGATTTAACCTCAATTTCAGAAAAACAAACCCATGCAACCTTCGGAAAAGTGGAAATTATGCTGGGGCCCGCACAAAAGAAGGACTATCCAAGTATACAAGTAAAGTCACCTTAACTAAGTTTGAAAGACTCGAAGGTCTGATTTTCGTGAAAGGTATTGGTCCAATACAGGATTATCACTTATCGCGCCGTTAATCATTGCAACAAAGTGCGAACAAAGAAAATGTTAACGGTCACATTAGTACGAAGGATTAAGTTGGACAGAAGCCAACCGATTACACAATAGATATAGCCATCATAAAACTATAATAAAGCATTGATAAATAACCGCTTTTGATGAGGATTTGACACAGCTCTGATCTGTTTTAAGCCACAACGCTCACCTTGGTCCCCTCGTCTCTTAAGAACAAATCGACAACTTGTACAGAGGTACAGTCTTGCTTCGAACACTTAGAGCGACCATAACGAGGTGACATATGGCAAGGAGTAGTCGGTAGTGTCATAAAGTAATCTGCTCCGGCATCTAGTGCTTCCTGCAATAATGTAGTTTTCCTGAAGGGAACCTCAAAACAGTAACTGCTGGAGTTATTAAATAAATAGCGTCATGTTTCTCTAGTGAAATATATGACAGCAATAATTCGAAAGCATTCAAATCACTCGAAAACCTTGTAAACAAATATGAGAGAATGCTCCTCAGCAAGTTCTTATCGAGGAAATTATTTAGTTATTAGAGAATAGTTCAAAAATGAGACACAAAAAAACCCTCACTTTACCATCGATAATATTGAACTCGATGCCAAGTGGTGTTCCTATTCGATGATTTTGAGTTCCCATGAACTTAAGCCAGTTACCGATAGTACATTCCTGATCCTTCTTCAGACTGCCACACATTAATCGAATCGCTTTTGTAGAGCTCCCAGTCATGGTTACCTTAAAACACTAACTTTTACTTCCATTAAAAGATAAATAATACTTGCAAACTGTAGCAAATTTAGAACTATACATGATTTTTGAGGACCTGAAAATAAGACCAGTAGAACAACCTCGTTCATACCAACAGTTCATCGCCTCATCGTAACTGGGAGGTGTTCCTGGGTGTCAGGGCTGCGATGTACAGAGGAAGGATTTATCCCCTCAGCAGGGTCTTCCAAGCCGAGGAGTCCGGCGTTTCTATCAGGAAGCCCAGGCAAGAGTAAGACAATACCAGGATCCACTATTATCTTGGTATCGAACTAGTCGCATAGTAGCAAATCTCCCTCTGATACACAAGGGCAGCCACTTCCTGTGTTGGTGACGACCAGGAGCAGAATTTGGTGTGGGTGACCTCGGAAATCCACGGAACCATAACGGGTAAACCAGTAAAACTCCAAAAAAATGAAAATTATGGTGGGGCCCGCACAACCAGTGAAGATGGACCATCCAAGTACCCAAGAATATTCTCGTTGTAATTCACCCACATTAGTAAATTATGACCTATGACATGAACATAAACATAATCTCAGAAAACCGAAAGCTGTTATAGGTACAACACTTACGTCTTTACACGAATTATACAAAGAATCTGTGAATTCCTTGCTAACATTGTAGCGAACTTTGTTGACGAATGACACATTGTTTTCCGGCACATCGAGTTCTTGAAGAATCTGAAAACATTCGTCGAATATCAATCAAATGATGTTTAAGCTCTTAGTCCCCTTACGAAACCAAACATCAGAGAAGAAGCATCTTGGCCGATCAAATATTAATTCCTCGTACGTGATGATTATCACAGTTTATATCCGAATAGAAGAAAACAGCTGTCTCATCGTTATGTTATCAAATAAAGTGAACGCTGATAGAAAAATGATAACACGGGTTATCAGAGAGGTCAAAACCATGACAGTTACAGAATAAAGTACATGTATGACTCGACTAAATCAATTCTTTTGTAAAGAATAGTGGAGAAGCCCCAACAATAGGAAGTTAAGGAAGTAGAGTGAGAAAGAAAGCAAGGATAGAACCATCAAAACTCTAGAAGACGAACCATCACAAATTTATGCTGCTGAGGTGAGCACGTGAATTCACACCACAATTTCTGGAAGTTATCGAAGCAAGATGGACACCGTTCAAGCAGACTAGCGGCTTGACGTAACTGTTTACTCATAGCCAACACTTGAGCAGATGAACAGCACAGACCGTCATTACCTTAAGCAATATCACCTCGTGGTTCGCCATATTAGCAAAAAAAGTACAGATTTCAAGAAGCAAACATTAAAAATTCACCTTCTTGCATGTGGAAAGGCAAAACTCTCCTTTACTTCAGTATTAAAACCAAAAATACTCCTACAAGGAAATCGTAAGGTTAAAAAAAGCTCACCCTCCAATAGATACGGACACATGTATTCGAGCTTCTGAGCAGCGTCTTCAGTCAAGAAGTGCAGCGGACGAGCGGTGAAGTTCTCGTTCGTGGGACAATTCATCGGACTTGACTGTTCGATATGACATACATCGTACATAACACAATCTGCGATCACCAAATGCCGTAGTGCCGTCAGAAGATGAGCAACGTAGATGAGGAGCCATTCTCGTGCACACATCGTCATCGTCATCCAGATGACACACACGCTTCACCGACGACCACACACGTCGTCGTCGAATCGACCATCAGTCTGAAATCAGAGCCTCAGCGATGCGGTCGCAGTCACCACGCCTACTGACATTCGATGATAATGAAGCTAACGAAGATTCTCGACGAATGCTGACGGAATGATTCATAAAAGCTAATCGATAAGTGCTTTGCACGTTCGAAAATCGAAAGCAGTTAACCGAACAAACAAACAAACAAACAAAAAACCTTGCATTCTTTTTTCATAGAAAACCCACTACAAAGTATACTACACAAGTGAACAACTTTAACACAATGATGCTGAGATCTTTGCAAAAGTTTGGATTGCAGGTGTCTGCGGTGGCGATCGAACTTGGACATATTTTTCCCGCGTGGACACTATAGTGTCCATATTCATCTTACTGGATTCCATAGCTTCTTTTTCTCTAGAGCAACATCTGTATTCATTCGACTCTCAAAGGAAAGCCGATCAAAATACTAGGAGTGAGACCAGAATAACCATTCACTGCACTTAATGATTTACGAAAAGCCTTTATTCGAAGAATTCAACTAGCCGGTAACTTGACTAGCAATTAACTGTTATGTCATTTTAGTCACTACGGTCATTGTATGGAGGCTGCAGATATGAAAAACACCGAAACAGACTCAATACAAACTGCAAAGTATTTCCAAATGCAGATAGCAAGGCACTTGAATATGGACCTTTGTAAAACACGGCAACTAATAAAATACAGATCATCCATACCCACAGAACCATAGAGTCAAGTCTCTTCTACAATCCTATCATCTTCAAAACCCTTGAAGTCCTATAGTTATTGAGAAAAGATTTTTTTTCTTATCAAAAAAACCAAAAAGTCCGCATCTGACAAAAAATTGAGCGTATTCGATCTTGGCGGCCACGAAAAATGGCGTCTGGTGCAATGAGTTAATGAAGGACGAAAATTTTGGAGAAAACTACTAGTATTTTTTGGGATACTAGTATGCCATACTATATGAGTATGAGTAGCTCGTATATATTATTATAGTAGGTAGAGAAGATATAGGAATACAATATGTTACTAATTAATGACTCAGTGGTTTCTTATTGCACCTGTTCTCACAACCGTCGTGGGTCCAATACTTGGGAAAAAATCAGAATACGAGTAAGGACATCACCTGCAGGATGCGAGAAAAAAAACTGGATTTGTCACTCTAAGTTGCTTCTAATAGTACGGAAATCAGTGAAGAAAAAACTACCCTTTACCGTATTCTATGAGCTTGTGAATAACTGTAGGTGAACAAGAAGGTTATGCTAAACGACTGGCTAAGGCAATGTTGCACAAGTGGGAGCTAGGCCAAGGACATTAGGATCTGAGCGTAACAATCAACTGAGAGATTACTATGAATCTTTGCCACCTCGCTTTCAAATATCTGCATTAATGCGAACAGAAATCCGTTTTTTTTGGATGGTTGAACAGTTTATCTGATCCAGTTCATGTAGTGTCTACAACGATCCTGGATGAGAACAGTAAAATGAGGTTAACAAGGATAAAGCCAATAGTACCAGGTCGATAAGTAGGTTAGATTCTGAACCACTGAGGACAAATGGAGCACGGACTAGCTGTGCCGGATCTAACAACAATATTAATGTGTAGCACTACCTACTGGGTAGTATGTATGCAGTAATGTATCCAGTAACACGGCGGCCTCGTCAGCACTAGCCTCGACCGGAAGACGAGCCGCCGAAAGAGTTTCGGTCAGATCGCGGACAGGCCAGACACCCGACTCTGCGTCTCTGACGCGCTTCGTCTGGGCAGGATGGCTGAACGATTTTGTCCGAAACGGACGTCGACGTTCAATATGGACTTCTCTAATCAACTCAAAGGACACAGTTTCGTGATGGCATGGCTTAAATTTAATGGCATAATGTCGTCATCGGGAGGAACGAGAAAAAATCTGCAATTGCACCACATCGTGTTGTACTTTGCTGAATTTTCGATCATCTTCTCTTTCGCCTCTGGCATTTATTTCAGACATAAAACGAAATTAATGCACACATTAGAACATTCGCAAACACTTTATGGTTTAAGCGGAGAATTTTGAACTACGTCGATAGCAATGAACGTGTCGAAGGGAAACTCGTCGACGTCTAACCATCCTTTCTTTCCTTGCAGAGAACACCATTTCCAATAGGTTTATGCCAAGCAGCATGAAGCGCGTATACAAGTCCTGCGCAAATTAATCCGGACGTATCTTTCGCCATTTTATTAATATTTTGTCTACATTTTAGAAATGTATGAGTGGTGACAATCAATAAGCCGAAGCCCATTAACGTTTATTGTTAGCGTGACAAAACAAATGCGCACGTTCGTCAATATTATGTTTCGTACTGAACTTCATCCCGGATGGATTAGTTACCCAGAGTATACCTATAGGTCTATGTAATAATGAATTGTATGTATTTCCATGTAATTAATCTCGACCTACCATAGATGGTCCTACCCAGAATTATTGCTCTGACTGCATTGATATCATATGTTCAGCTTAGATCGACACAGATAAAGATATTGTGCTAAAAGGTTTTCACTATAGAAGGAAAAAACGGGCTATCTCATCTAATCTACCAAAGAAAAATAAATGAGGGATTTCGTTGTCGCTTATGTGAGTGGGCGACAGAAAGGACAAATCACAACTGCGCTTAATCTTACTTTTTTCGTTTAACACGACCCTTAGTCACATTCACTTTGTTAATTCTAGCACTTCCTGCATCAGACTAGTTTCCTTGAATTTGTCGTCTCCGAAGGTTTTCGAACGTTTCATTTGTGGATCCAGGTGTTGCTTGAGGATTCTCGCCTTCTTCATGAATATCGTTGAATACTGGTTAAGTCCTGAGATAGCAGCGGTAGAGTATTCTCTCTTGGAATGCAGACAGTGAACTCTTTCCGGGCAAGTCTTATACCAAATTAGTGACCTCGGAGGGATGGGAGGCTTGGTAGATCCTGAGCGGGCCGAACCAACATCGTGTTCGTGATGAATGGTATCACTATCGCGCTACCCATCCTCTGCCAACCACAACTCGGCTCATGTTAAAATTTACTAATGTTCTTAGATGAGGTGCCACTTACTTTCCATTATTTTAAGATCGGCTATTGAGCAATTTAGTGTTTTGGTATTGCTCTTTTCCGTTGCATTCCACAGCTTAAGCGAAAATCAGAAAAAAGAAAAGAAAAAAAGGAAAAGAATGTGAACCACTAGCAGCAGTCAAAATTAATATCTTTTGTAGAATTCGACTCCAAATGTCCATGAATTTTTCATGACATTCACAAGAGTCGTAAAGATAATTGATATCTGCTGTTTCGGCGTGGATGATTTACTGCCTCATCATCGAGGGTGGGTGTTCTTGGCAGTCGAAATATAATGAACAGCAGGCAGGGACAAGCACACGCAGTATGATCATCGAAGCTGAGAAGCCTAGAATTTTTGTCCTAAAGACTTCTAAGGATATACTTATGATAGCTATATTCTCACGAAGAACAAGGAAAATGACGTTTTATATGCTAATAGTGCGAATTTCCCTTCGTTTTCTTTGAGTCAGCCTCGATTCCATTTCTATTCAGCGGTTTTGGCGATGATAAAGACGATTGGAGAATTCGAGAGGATTTGAGATACCGAAAGATTAACAAGGCTATGTGTAATAACTGCTATAGAGTACAATATTTTAGCTGTGAATCGAAGACAACTCGTACATCAGAGACACTACTTTAATAAGAATGCTTAAATTGGGCGAGAATGATCAGGAAAACTGTAGAAAAGGGTAAAGTACGTAACAAATTGTCGGGATACGAACTGTTACGGTGACACAGAGCCGTCGCTCACCATCATGCAAATTGAGCCGTCTTTACAGATTTAACAGAAACTGCAGATGCGTAGAATTCTTATTGAAAAAACACCTTGGGGGTAAATTCTCTTAATAATTTGACAACTGTTAGAATGTTTTCCTGGGTTGGATAAATAGTAGTAACGACGAAAAAGAATGAATTGAAAGATAATGATTCAGGCGTTGATCAATCCCCAAGGGTGCGCTGTGCATTCGAATCTATTCGTAACTAGGGTGATTGAATGTATACCGGATCGGTATAACGTTTTTCTTGTGTCTACTGATGGATCGGATGTAGCGCACTGCTAGGAGGCGCTCCACAATACACATGAATGAGACCGATCCTCGCGCTCCATGCCCAGCAAGTCCTCAATCATTTCCGACTAGGCAAATTGGTACCAAACTTGTCTGAGAAGATAGTGGCACGAGATCGACACATCGGTAGGCCACCGAAAGTCATTGTAAAAGCCAGATATGCGGTTAAACACGTCCGACGATGCTTAATGAAGTCGAATGCATGGCGCATCCTTCATGGATAGCTCAACGTCGGGGGCCTTGTGGATTTATTTTAGCAGCGCAGTTGTCCTCTCAGAAAGGCTTGGTACTAGGCGAGGGGTCGAACCAAAAACAACATGTATATTACAGAGTTCCTCTAAGCACTACGCTACACGCCGCTTGTGTTAGCCTGTGTTAGCCTTAAGAAACACGCTAATGGATACATCATACTAAAGTTAAACGAAAGCCAATATGAAAAAATGTCATTAAATGTCTTGATTTTTTGCTGAATGTGCCTGAGCTCATTTATTAGTGATTTCATGAAATTGCTGGCAGATTTTTCACTGATTGAGAAAAGTGGAAAAGAGCTAAGTGATCATGGCAACGTAAGCACTTTTTAGTAATCCCTAATTGCAAAGATCCCATCTCACACAGCATCATCGCCAGCAGAATAGATTCATATGCCTTTCATGTTTTGAGTATACATCTCCATGATGTGAGCCTGTTTGAGCCACGACTGCGAAAGCAAGCAGGCCAGAATCTGTTGAAAACGCCAGTACGTTAAAAGTTGTTGCGAACCTGTTCACGATAATGGTAAATTGTTGTACTCACTCTACATTCGAGAGCTTTTA